GTGGGAGAACTTGCACAATTGGTGGCTGACTAAATACTTTTTTGCCCCACTGTATACTGTTTTTCTACCAAGCATACAAATTATTTCACAATCTGAAATAATGGATTGCAATCTAAGCAACATGGCATAAAAGAAAAAAAGGAGCAAGGAGGGAAGTGGAAAATAAAATAAAATAGACAAATTCAATTCTCTTGTCATGTCAGGGAGCCAGACAGAAAATGGCCAGCCTCAAGCCCTACTGATCTTAACCCAGTTGATTAAGATTGGGAACCTGAGTCCCAGGTCCCCAGACTTTGGGAGGGCTGCATCTCCAGCAGGGAGTCAGAGAAGATGGAAGTAGATAAAGGTATGGTTATATTAAGAAATATCTGATACAGGAATTGATCACAGCGCTGAGGCTGGGAACGTTCTGTATTTAAGGAATCCCTTGACTGCTGTTAGGGTTTAATCATGTCTACGTCCCATCTAACTCCTATCTATGCAGCCTTCTTGGAACCTCACCCTTACTTGATCTGGGTCTACTTGCCCCTTGGACCTTGGCTACAGGTGAGCGCTCTGACCCCTTTGGATTGGGATTCTATCGATCACTCCAACCTTATCTGATAGATTTATCATTTGTAATGTTTATTTCAATTTATATGGCCACCCATCTCTTCGTGATGACTCTTGGCAGCTAACCGCAGTAGAAAGCAAGAAAATAAACACCACAATAGTAAATACATAATTGGCAGCCGAGATAAAACCACAAACCCCCATCAATATAACATGGGTTTTGCCATACGTTCCAACCCTCATGCCTGGTGATGTCTTTAAGGCCTTATGAAAGACCGGCTGAGTCAGAGCCAATCGGATTGATTCATTGCAGGCTCAGAGGCAAGGAGTCATTCTGGTAGACTTGAAAGTAGGAGCCAAATAGAAGTAGGCCCAGCTGCTCTGGGTCTTTTTGAGGCAACCAGGGGGAATAGAGGTCTTGATGAGAAGGTTCTATACCTGTGCAGGGTGTTGATTGTCTGGTAAATTGCCTTGACTTTTGAAGGACCTCATGAAAGTGGTGGACGTGGATAGAATAATCCTGTTGGAAAGCTTAGCTTGCAGTTCATAGGTCTGATGTATATTTATTGTTTGTAGGCTGGCAGTGCCAAGTTTAACAGAGCAAAACTGCTAAATGTGGGATACCTGGAGGCGCTGAAGGAAGAGAACTGGGATTGTTTTATTTTCCATGATGTGGACCTGGTGCCAGAGAATGACTTCAACATTTATATATGTGGCAGTCAGCCAAAGCACTTGGTAGTGGGTAGAAATAGCACAGGTTACAGGTAAGAAATAATGTGTTACAAGATGTGTTTTTATGTGTTTATACCAGTGAGTTATATTTTTGACCTTTGCTTGCTTGACTTTGAAAGTGACAAATCTTGCTGCAGCTAAATTTAGTACATGTCACTAGTTCTCTGAGTTATCAGCATATCCAAGTTGAATCAGTGTAGAAATTGGTGACCTAGAATAAGGATTCTCCAATTTCATACAAATGTTTAGGTGCCACTGTTCAAACTGTATATTGATGTAATTGGCTGTGAGAATAATCTTGAGAGATAGGAGAAAGAACTCTAACCTAGACAATGGTCTGATATATCAGCCTTCCCAGGTAGACCAAACAGGAAACACAACCAGATAAACTAATTCTGCTTTATTGTAATGCTGCATTAATAGAGTCTTGCAAGTCTGAAAGTACAATTCTCCTGCTGTCATCTTTACAGCCAATAACTTAGGGAGGGTCCCTCCTGAGCCTCTCGCTCTGCCCACTATACAGCTGTGGCTATGTTCCCTCTTATCTGACCATTCTCTAGGCAGCATCTCTTCGCCTGGTCTCCCAAGGTCATTTCCATGTACCATTACAGACAAGAGAAATCTGAGTCCAAAGCAGGAATGGCAGTGGAGAAAGCACATCAGAATTGAGCCTCCCTTGTTTTCTGGAACATAAAGGCAGGGGAGGGGGGTACTGCTTTCAGACTTGCAAGTTTTTGTTACTGTAACCTTACAATAAAGGTAGTATTAGTGGTTAGTATTCTTGGTTTTGGTTTCCTGGTCTGGACTATCTTGAAGGTCTGACAATTTCATTTGAACCCCTATTTTTATTCTTTTAATTGAACAGTAGTTAATAAACATTTACAAGTAATGAATAATGGAAATCTGTAATATGTTGGGAAAAAAAGTTTTAGCAAAAATAAGTGGAGAATAATAGATAATGAACCTCTTCATATTTGCCATACATTAAGAGCATTGTTGATAGTAGGTCTGTTATGGTTAAAATAATGCATGAAATCTGCCCAAACTGGCAAAATTTTGGTTCCTGCCTGATGTTTCATTATTCTGACTTTACCTGTAATCTTTTCTAGTGTGGCAGTTGAAGAAGCCTTATTGATTCATATCTCAATTGTTAGATTATGTAAGGTTTTCTATTGTCAGCAATTATTATTTTAGCTGTTATAGTTAAGTAAGCAGTAAGTTCTTTAATTTTTACTTTAAGGTTCAATCACATAAATAAGTGCAGTGCATTCAATTCATTTTTAGTAATGATACCTCCATTGTTGAAGATTTTACAGTGGAAGAGTATAACTTTATCATGACCATCACATATGAAAGGAAGACTCCTTTTGTAAATATCCTCTCCAGCATTTAGAAGAATAATTGTGATATATGTACAGTAATCTAACCAGAGTAAAATTCCAGCAAAGTATGGTCTTCCACTGATGCTCTTGCCTGAAAGTGGAAGCAAATCCACCTGGTTTCCATAATGTCTGCCATTTTGTCTCTTCTTTACCAAAATCAGTACCCCAAGCTTCCTTTAAGCCCAGGGCTGGATCTCCTATTTCTAATTGCGACAACTGATTGATTTTGTGCCATAAAGTCAGTATGGACTCTTAGCAACCACATAGATAGATTTTCTGTATGATAATCTGTCCCTAACCTGGTCCTTCAGCTCTTCCAAGGCAAGCCCCATCACCACTGAAACTGAGTCTATCCACCTTTCTGCTAATAATCCTCTTCTCTTGCCTTCCACCTTTCCCAGCATTACAGCTTTCTCCAGAGAGCTAGGTCTTTGCATAATGTGTCTTAAGTAGGATAATTTGAGTCTGGTCGTTTGTGCCTCATGTGTGAACTCTAGACTGATTTATTCATTGATTCATTTGTTTGTTTTCTTGCCTGCAATGGTTTTCTCAGAGGTCTTTTCCATCACCGAAGCTCAGAAGCATTAATGCTTTTTCTATCCTGCTTCTTCAAAGTCCAACTTTCACTTCCATAGAGTGTCACAGGGAATATAATTGCTTGCACTATTCTGATCTTTGTTAAGTGTAGACACATCAGAGAATCTGAATATCTTTTCCAAGGCCTTCATGGCTACTCTACCAAGTGCTAGTCTGTGGCATATTTCTTGACTGTTTGTTCCTTTACTGTTGATCATTGATTCCCAAAGGCAGAAGCTACTGTATCTATCACTTCAGTATCCTCATTGTCGATTATAAGGCTCATTGTTATTTGATCTTTTTAATTTTAGTCCCATTTTTTTCACGGTGCTCCTTGACTTTTATTACTAGAGCTTGCAAATCCTTGCATTTTCAGCTATCAGAGTAGTATTTATTTATTTATGTATGTATGTATGTATGTATTTATTTATTTATTTATCAAATTTGTCACCGCCCATCTTGTTGAATGA